CCAGGAGTGTCCATTTTTATCTGAATTCTGAGCTTTCCAAAAGGCTGTAAACTTTTCCAAATGCATCCTTTTTTCCAGGACCAACAGAGTTATTGCAAACAGGGGGTACCCAGGCTGAAATATTTCCAGTTCTTGACATCTGGCAATCGGTCGATTTGTCCCTTTTACTCAATTTTCAAGTTGGTGAAAGCCTTGTGGCTATTTGATCATAAAAAATTACTAGAAAATGACAACGATACAACATTTGACTCAAAAATACAGTTCTGAATTCTGAACTTCTAGTTGGTTGGTGACTGGTTAGAAATCTGCTGCAGCTGTTTTGTCAATGCTTCTCTTCATATTAGTTATGCTTTCATGTGCTTCTTAAATTTACCTTGTTCAACAAGAAATAGTTGTGTATTACTGTTTTAATATTGGGTGGGGACCAGTTTTCATGTAGGTGTTTGTTGTGTCAACAGAGTCAGAAAGGATTCATATGGTTCTTGTCTTTAGAAGGTGGCAGGGGCAGAAAAACACAGAATAAAAACAAAGAAAATGCTTTGAGGTTATAACCCATAAGCCACTAAATATGGTTTTACTTCCTCGTTCTTTCTTTTCAGCACTGTTTATAATATCTATTTTAAAGGCGTCCAAACAAATACACCTCAGGGCACCAGATCCATCCAGTGTTGGTCCAGAGTATGACTAATAAAGATTGTGGCAGTGATTTCAGTTACGTCTCACTGGAGAACATGAGAAAAAAGAAAGAAAAAACACCTTCTTCGTTACTTGAAATTTTGTATGTCCAAAAAACATCATGTAATAAAGCCCTCTGCATTTTACTTTGAAAACTTTTGCTCTGTTGTGTTTTTTTTAATCCAGTGATTTAAATGAATTCAAAGCATAGAACAACACATTTTAATCTAAAGTAAATCGTGTCATATTCATATTATTATGCATTCCTGAAGATTTAATATTTTCTTATATTATTTATTTTAACAAAAGAAAAAAATAAGTTAAAGCCTGACATTTTCTTGACATCAAAGATGACTTCCTGGCCTCTCTGATTATTCACAGTTCATCTTATCAAGCACAAATTTGCTCTTTGGCCTTTGTGATTTCAACCTCCCTTCTTGGTCTGAGGTTGTAAACTAATGCTACCTCCAGGCTCTCTGCTCCTGTCTCAGTTTCCTGTCCAAAAAAACAGACAAAAAATGCTTTCATATAAAGCCTTAATATATTTACTTTCAAATGCATTTAAATATTTGAATCATTACTTAAAGAAATGGTACAAGAGTTACAAATTCTCAGGTACAAAACTGTGGAGTAATTTTTCAAGTCTGCATACCTCAAAAAGCTATATTTTCGTTTGGCTCCCCTTAGAGCAAACATTATGATTCCACATCCATAAGAGAGAGTGTAGACTGAAATGAAGGCAGATAGTTTAAGCAAAAGAAACAACATTCACCCAAGGGAGTGCTGTATCAAACATGCTATATTGTGTGCGGTACTTACCATGGTAAGAACGAAGGTTCAAGACGGCCACAAAAATTGCGAAACAAAATCCCCAGTACACATCTGAAGAAGGGGGGATGGTAAAATTAACATATATTGTCCCAGTTAATAATGTTTGATCCCCTAAATGTGTATGATACTGCAATATTGCTGATGATTAAGTAAAACAGATTAATACACAGTCAGCTCTGATGATATTTAGAATTACATAATAGATAAATAACCCTTAGGAAAAATAAAGTAAAAACCTTAAAATGAATTCAGAGTTGTTTGTAGGCTGTTTGGGACCCTAAACAGATATAAATTACATTTTCCAGTTAACATCAATACACACAGCTCAATCATTATCGCAGTTTAATCATCCTTGCTTCAAATAGTCTTGTATTAAGCAAAAAGCTTAAAGATCAGTACTATAGTTTGCTGTTAATTCTGCAGTTTAGGTATCCTAGAGGACAAAAGGATGCAATTAAAAAAAAAATTATCCCATTTTATAGTTAACAAATGAGATGACAACAAAATAGTTCCTAAAAATTTTTACAGTTGGATGAAAATAAAGAAATATCAAGGAACACAAGTTTTGTTTTCCTTTTCGAAGCATTATTTAGGGCACAGATGTACTGCTGTTGTGCGCCCTCTGGTGGTTGTGGAATTCACAGCCCCTACTTAAGCACTTTTCCGCTTGGCCAGCTCCAAATATGACACCAAGGAAAAACATTTCTTTAAAAAACAAACCTTACTTTACCTTTCATCAAAACAAAGAAAAGAATGTGAAAAAGGCTGGAGAGTGATCCACATTTTTTATTGTTGTTGCAAAAATGCACCTTGAGAATGATGATAAGCAGAGATGGGAGTACAGTAACGAAGTACAAATACTTCGTCACTGTACTCAAGTAGATTTTTCTGATATTTTTACTTTACTTTACTACTTATTTTTATGGCGACTTTTTACTTCTACTCCTTACATTTTTACACAAATATCTGCACTTTCTACTCCTTACATTTTAAAAAATTGGCTCGTTACTTTAGTTTTGAATCATTTCAATGGAGTTACCGTTATTATTTTTCACATCGTCAATACCAAATTCAATCTAATTGATGGGAATCTACGTTGCATTTGACGCACCACTACAAGATGAATCGACAGATTTGGCGGTATTCATTCGCGGCAAATCATTGCAGCTTGGTGGCGGTGGCGTTAGCATAGTAGCATGGACGACGAGATGATTGAAAATGAACACAACGGAGATCTAGTCCTATTGACAGACATCCATTTAAAATGTAGGCAACGGCATGAAAAAAGTGGTTTCTACTTTTACTTTTATACTTTAAGTAAATTTACAAGCCTGTACTTTGTTAATTTTACTTGAGTAAAGAAGTTTAAACAGTACTTCCACTTTTACCAGAGTATTTTTTAACACAAGTATCTGTACTTTTACTCAAGTACGGAAAGTGAGTACTTTTGCCATCTCTGATGATAAGAGAGGCTGATGCTAATAGGACTGCAGTAAGATATGCTGCTGCAACCAAGTGTGTATTTTTGAAGACTATATAGTCATAGTTCACAAGTATATTAATTAATTTGTGGGAAGCTGTGATTTAGTTTGATTTTATATTGATGCAAAAAATATACCTCTTTTGTTGTAAGGAGACCCTTTACAAACTTTAGTGTGGGCTGGCAGGTCTGGGAAGAAAAAAATACATTAAGACCCAATACATAAAAAAAACAAGTAAACAATATTTAAAGTGTGTATAATAATACATCGATCTGCTTACCCAAAGTTATGCCCAAAATCTCAAACACTAGGGCAAAGAACACGCCTAAAACGGATGGAACTAAAATTGCTGGAAGTAAAAAAAAAAAAGAAAGAAAACATGAGGTGAAGTGTTTACAGTAGCTAGACACTAAAACATTATGGATACATATACTGTACTTACAATGAAACGGCCTATAGAGAGCCATGGCACATCCCAAACCAAAGCAGATTGAATAAAAGTGGTAATATTTGTCTGAAAATAAACCGAATAAACAGTCAGTCTAGATATTCTCAAAATGAAAAGGTTTGCTTTAACAAGGTGTTATATGACTATTGTAAATAAATGATACATACAATGGTTGTAAAAGTTATTTATAGGATTCCCTTCATTGTCCTGTAAGTGTAAACAGGAACTACATTTAGTAATAAATCCAAATTAGAGATAGGCCAATAGTATAAAGCATGATATCATTTTGTACTAAAACCTTGTGTTAAAGTGTTAACACTGGCTAACAACCAAAGCAAAACCTTTCAGATCAGGTGTACATACCATTTAGCCTCAGCTATAGGTGGGAGAGTTCTCAGGCAGGTACAGCAGCATTAAGACAATCAACATTTGTCTAACAACTTCCTGAAGCCGGTCCAACCACTCAGCCATGGGCTGCCACGAAAGGAAAGTCCCTGATAAGGTTGTTTTGCTTTCACATTTGCTTCCCCATTTTAAAATCTTGAAATCAAAGCCTTTGTGTGCAAATTAAATAATAAAAGATGTGCTTTCTATTTATGTTTACTATAACAAAATACTAACATTAAATACTAACACTAAAAAAGGCTACATATAACTACTACATTATTTTCTGTAAACTCAAAGCTTTACCCGTCCTTTCAAATCCTTAACGTTTTTTAATCCCTCTTACACTGGAAATAATCGAAATCTAGATAAGTTGCAAATGCGCTTAGTTTAGATAAATCTAAACTAAGTGCATTTGTTCTTGGATACAGAAGGTTAAAGGGACATTTTGCAAAGGGAACAAGAAAATTTGCACTTAAAATAAGAAAACATAATTGCATTGTCTTCTTTCAAGTGCATATTATCTAATTATCTTATTTGAAGAAAAAAAAATACTCATTCAATTGGCAAACTATGTCATTTATCTTCTCATATTAAGGGTAAATACACTCTAAGAAATTTCAGCTTATTTCTAGATCGTTTTTCCAGTGTACATATAACTTGATAGACATTTCCATAAAAATGGAAAAAAAAAAAAGAAAGAAAAAAAAAAACAACCCCTGGAATTATTGACATTGTATCTCCACTATACAGCACCAAGAACTGCAGATAGCGCTGTTACAACTCCAATGTCACCGTTTTCTTATGTCTTATCTAGGAGGTGCTCTGCAACGTTGATAAGCGTAATGTAATGTCTAGTTATATTTTCAACCAATATTCAGCAAGTCCCTCAATCTGCATTATTAATGTGTGCAGAGGAACCAGAAAGACAGCGTTAATTCCACGGTAGAAATGTCAAGAACAAGTTTTAGTCTAAATAAACGCCCTACCTGTTTCATGGGCATAGCTGCAGTTCCATTATAAAACCGCTAGATGGCAGTATTGTATTCATATCATGGCTAGTACGGTATCCTGTGGAGGACACGCTAAGCATTCTGGTCGTTGAAGTCAATATCGCAGCTGTGTCAGGCAGTCAAAGTAACATTAGCGTATTCTTCAAAACTACAATTCCCTGTACAGTCACGTAGATTTGAATGCTGTGCGGATAGCTTTTTCCAGTCGATGATCTCAACAGAAGTTTCCTCTGGCCGCCTCATGAAGACACTAGGGAAAGTCACAAAGGACGAAGGAACTCCTCTTTAATTTAAAACTCCTATCGACGTCTATGGCGGACAAATAGCAGGAGCCGCTATAAGCCAGTCAAACCGTGACAATGCGGTTCAAACAAAGAAGGCTGTGATTTGTGGCGTCCCGATCTTTTTTTTTTTTTTTTTCCTCCTGAGCTGAAGCCCAGTCAGGGCTGGGTCCCGTTACGGTTTGAATCGCTGCTTCGCCAAGATGTCCACGGAGGAGCAGGACTATCCCGAGGCGGTGCTGGTGACTGAAGCTGGGCCCCAGTGGCTCCGAGCCGAGGTGGAGCGGCTGTCCCGCGAGCTGCGAGAGACCACGCGCGAAAAGATCCAGGCGGCGGAGTACGGGCTGGCCGTGCTGGAGGAGAAGCAGCAGCTCAAGCAGCGATTCGACGACCTGGAGACGGAATACGAGACGGTCCGACAGGAGCTGGACCAGCTAAAGGAGGTAAGCTGAGGTCAGAGCCACGCAGACGGATCTGTTGAAGCGCTGGCAAACCGTCAGCTGGCTGTGACAGGGACGCGGTGCACATGAGGCTGATTAATATGCTTATTAGGAGGATCCAGTGCACTTAGATAACCACCTAACTTTCCACCAAGGCACAGAAACATGTTTTTGGTCCCTCCCTTGCCCACACTTGCCTTGGAATGTAAAAAGAAGCCCTTTAATTAGATAAACCTTAGTTAGCTTATGGATTTCTGCTGCTTAGTTTGTTGTTTTGTGGTCAAGCTGTAAAAAATATCCTGATTGCGGTAGAAACACAAAAATTTCCTCCAGCTCACTGAAAAGTAAATAAAGAGTCAGATAATATCTCCTAATCGCTTCCCCTTCGGTTGTTTAAACATCTTTAGCTCCTCACTACAGTCAAGATCCTCAATTTACAGCAATTAAAAAACAAATACTTTAAAAAAGAAAAAAAAAGCAATTATTAGAGTAGAGATGTTTGCAAAAATGCTAATGCTAGCAACTAAATCCTATTGAATGGGCTGCAATGCTTGAAAACTAACAGAATACTTTAAAATATTTAACAAACTTTTGAAAATGTTTTTGGAAATGATAAGTTTAAGTAAAAGATGTTTATAGAATGCTCTACCTTGATAATATCATTAAAATCAGAAATTGAATTTGTAATAGAAGAGATATTCAACAAGTGTACTTATGTATTATTAAATCTGCAAATGATCAGATAGATTATTTGCAGTTTACCCTGGTAACTGGATTTTGCAGATTATTTTTTATTAAAAAAATAATAATAAATGTAAAAATAAAAATTAACTAAAAAATATTAAATAATAAAATTATATGTAATAATATATAAAACAATTATTGAAGAATTCCTTTTTTTTTTTTTTTTGCTGATTATTATTTTTTTTTAAAGAAAAGTCCAGTTAGCAAGGAATAATCAATGGATCATTATATATACCTTAAACTAATACCTTTGCTGTGATTTAATGAATTTAGCGTTAATCAGTAAAAAAACTAAAAGAATTTTCGTCGCTGGGAGCAGCCATTTTTGCCCAAATATACTAACACCTCACTCCTGAAATCTTCTGGCAGTGACGTCACGGTGTAGCTTAGTAAACTAGCCCAACCCGCCAGCGGCCAAAATCATTTTTGCCTGTGAGTTTTGTCTAGCCTCGATCAATGCCCCAGGCCCTAGAACTGTGAGCCCAATAACAACTTCAGTTTTTGAAGGATTAAACTTGGGGTTTTTTGTTGAAACGTGAGCAGGAAGAGGCTCTACGCTCATTCATTTTTAAGAAGGACGTATCCGCCGTTTTACCGACAGGCTGTTTGTTTACACTCCCCCACCAGCTTTCTGTCACAGTCAGTTGTGGTCATTGGTCAGAGCGTTGGCCATTCTCCCCACTTTAAAAGCAAAATCAATGGGAACTACTAGACACACCTGCAGTTAAACTGACAATGCCCATGTGCATGGCGGTTCGATGTTGTAATACATAGGGTAAAAGTGAAAAAAAATTAGTTATTTTACCTTTCAGATTCCTGATCCTCCACGGATGGGTTTGTCGTTGGATTGCCAACTTGAAGAGGGGGGATTTGCCATCGACCTTTCAGCCAGAGAAAAAAAACAAACACGTCATATATAGCCAACATGTCGAAGAAGAATGTTTCCAAGATGACTTGGATAATGGCGCGTTGTGACAAACACCAGTTACAGCACTGGGACTTGCTCAACAGCTGATACCGTATTATACAGACTGTTAGAATAAATAACATAAAAAAGTGTATTCTGCTTAAGAGAAATCTAGGGCTAGAAATATTTGGTACAAGCAGTGAAAGCTGAGAAAGTTCTGTCTGTGTGGAGCATAGATGCATCGAGCATAACTGAGCCTTAACACACAAAACACATGCAAAGAAAAAAGCAGCAGGTAGTAAAAACAACTGCAAATTAACATAAGTTGTAAACTAGCTTAGCATATTAAAGATTGGATGATGATTATCAGGTCATAATGCACAAGACCGTTGATGTAAGAAAACAAACAAAAAAAACATACCTTTTCAAGAATAAAAGGTATGTTTTCTGTTGGAGTCTTTTTAAACTCTAAATCTCTCTGAGCATCCCTTTTATGTCTTTGCTACAGGTCTGATGCATGTCATTAATTGACATTTATTTGTGTGTTGGCACCATTTATACATTTGGAGCCTGTATCACTGTGCTGCTCTGTATTTTCAGTTATTGAAGCATTTTTACTTTGCATTGGTTGTGTGTCAGTGGGATAGTTATGTTTGCAGTACATAGTTACAGCACGTTTGCACCCCTCAGCCACTTAACATCACCCATAAAGAAACTGGCGCAAAAACTGCAGCTTCAGATTTGCTGATAGTAATCCACCTAAATTAACTTTAAACTAGATGAACCAGTCAGTAAGCCAAAGACGCAGAATTCTTGTGTTCTCCCATTACCAGCTGGTAAGGTAATGATTTTTTTTTCACTATTAGACTAATAAAAATAAGATGTCTAGAGTGTTTTAATCTGCAAAAGCTAATTAAAAAAATGCTATGATGCATAAATTTGGACCTTGCGGTTCCTACAATTTAAATTAGATTCAGTACTTTGTGTTAAAATACTTAAAAAGAAATAAAATTCAGTGTCAGCAATGTAGAAGTACAGTATACCACCCCATCGCAAACAGAGCTTGACTTTGAATCATACCTTACATTAAAGTAGTGTTATAGGTGGGCATGAACGAAAAATTTATCGTCATCCTGAATTCACTTTAGACCATATGCATATCCTGAAGATATGCCTGGACAGTAATAAATGTTTACTTATTATTTCATTTCAGTAAATTCAGTCTTCCATACAATTAATACATTTAGTTTATACATGATGTTTAATTGCACCGTGCACCATGTTTAGTTGTCTCTTCTCCCAGACTGTTTACATTTGATCACTGTTGCACTTCATGGAATGGAAATGTTCTGAAAGCTGTACCAAATTACATTTCGTTTTGTTTACATTCTATGTACACAAAACAACAATAAAAGTTGTCTAAGTCTAATGCAGCATGAAATGTTTTAGAAGTTGAGAACACGGGTAGGTGGTACAGTCATAAAATAAAAAATAAAACATCTAGAATCGCTGTTTTAGGGCAAATCAATCACATCGTGTTTTAAAAGAGAAGTTGGGTTTCCCCCTCTGATTGTTCTTGGAGCTTCTTCTTGTCAGCAGAGGAACTGCTCCCTGAAGGACTTCCACTTTGGCTTTTTTTAGCTGTTGTACTTGCTAGTTTCTGAATGTTCCTCCACTGCTCACTCCTCTAAATTATTCAGCATAATGGCTGTTTTACTGTCCTACAGCTCATCCGATGGTCTCAGCTGCTCCGCATTGGGAGCATCTCATTGAAGGGCTTCTTACTTACTGTCAGATGCTGAAATGTTTTAGTAATGGAGGAAATCTCAGGTCATAGACGGAGAAACAAAGGTTATTGATAGCAAATATATCTGATGCATTCCTAAAGATCTGATTGAATATCTTTTTCAGCTGAGTCTTAAACGGGAGTAAGAAATTCAGAGATGTGAAATAATGGCGAGTTCGATCCACATGAGGTTATTGAGGTTGCTGATTGCACTTAATCACCCATGGACCTATTGTTGTCAGCACTGCCATGGTGTCTTATGACTCTGACTGTTGATCTTGAGTCATTTATCTGCAGAACCAATCTCAACAGCAAACTGCTGCTTGTTCCACAAATCAAAACTCGTGGTAAAGAGCTGCAGCTCTGAGGATCTGATCAACTTAATCTGTGATTACTTTATTTTTCTAGCAAAAGTAAGAAACGGCTGGATGTACAAATACATCTCAAAGTAGTTCATCCTCAATAGATTTTTTTTTAGTTAACTTGATTTTAAAGAGTGAAACTTGGATATAATTCAGATTGTGTTTAAAAAAAGAAATAGAATAAATTCTTGTATTAATTATACTAAGGGTTGATTTATATAACCAGCGATGAATGTCGCCGTTAACCGCCATTATTTTATCAAGATGCCCTTGACTTTTGATGCTAGTATTCGCACGTTGCATTTATACAGTCTTATATCTAGGGCTGGGCGATAAGTCAATTTTATTGATTACATTTTTTGTTTATCAGGATTAAAATTTTAGAAAATCTGATTTATTTTTTATGTTTTTCAAATAAATGTTCAATTATTTCATTCTTTTTTTCAGATGTTCTTATAACTGATAAACCAAATCATTGTGTGATAACCACTAGCTGCAAACATTTAGTGTTTTATTTTCATTTTTGTTATTAGACATTATTATTTTTATGCATTTGTTTAATTATAATATATTATCTATATATATATATATTTATTAATATATATATTAATTATATATTTATTAATTTATATATTAATTATATATTTAATCAATTGAAGTGAGTAAGAATTTAAGTAAGGTCACATCCCAAAGAGAATGATAGTTTTCCAAACCAATGTCAATTGGCATTCTCTTTTACATTTAAGTGAGAAAAAGAATCAATTAATTGTATTTGGTAAGAAAAATCTCAGACTAAATTTTACAGGCCCCTCAGCCAGCACTATATAAATAAATCAGGGCTGGGTATTTTTGCCATAGTCCTGAATCGATACTCATGTAATTTATTTTTTCCTGTCACATTAAAAACAAAGTGCAAACTTGTAAATCAGACAGTTTAAACTTGGGATGTGAACAAAACTGTCTCATAAGTGCAAACTTGTTTGTGAAAAGTGAAAAAGTGAAGCCTCACTCGAGCAAGCAGTAGTGACACTGCAGACATGCATGAGCTGCATTATCTGCACAAACCATATTTGCAGTGTTGTCTGTAACAACTACAGGGTGTTTGCTGGTCAGCCCCCATTTGTTAATGTCTTCAGTCGACCTATTGGCTATATTTGCTGTTGTCTGGCTTGAAGTCATCTTGAGTGCATCTTTCCTGCTCATTTGAATGTGAACGCGTCACTATAAAACTAATCGATCTCATTCCCTAGACATCGATTTTGCAAAAATGTAAAGGAATCGATTCAAAATTGATTTTTTTTACCCAGTCCTAATATAAATTAGAAAAAGGTTTTTATCACCAACAATCTAATTTGAGATTGGAACGACTGAACATATTCGATTCTAAATTTTGAGAATCAGAATCGAATCAGTTGTTAAACAGATACACAGAGGCCCACATTACTCGCATATTAATGTATCCCAAGTGTTTATTCCTTCTAATATTTATGATTCAAGTTGATAAAAAGCCACATTTTAGCTTCACATTGAAACTAAGTTATATGTCAAACCTATTAAAAACTATATGTCTATTTATTTACTGCTTGTGTCTTGTTGTCAATAAAGTAAATGAAATTGTTGTTTGCCTAGAAATATTACTTGTCAATCATTGCTATAAAGAGAATCAAACAACAAATGAAGATGTGGGTGTTTTTGGTTTCAATTTGGAGCTTCTACAATAATTTTGTATCATCTCCTCTAGGAAAAAGAGAATACTGCATGTTTGCTGTAAATCCACTGATCTGAAACTTCAAAGGACAGCCTAGTACATAAAGAAATGTATGTTGCTCTGTTAAAACAAAACATTTTCAACTGCTTAATTTAATAATAAAAAAAAGAACACAATTTAAACGCATTTAATTTCATTGTTTGGAATGAAGCAATATTTGAAACAAATTAATGTTTTATACTGGTTAAATCTTTCTGAAGTTAAATGAGCATTCAGTTTAAAACAGGGTTTTTTATTTCTTTATTTTTCATGAAAGTTGTTTGTTTTCTTGTTTCCCATGTCGGTGTATCTTTAGGCATTCGGACAGGCATATTCTACCCACAGAAAGGTGGCAGCAGATGGAGAAAGCAGGGAAGAGTCGCTGATCCTGGAGTCTGCCAGTAAAGAGGCTCTGTACCAGCAGAAGGTCCTGGAGCTGCAGAATGACCTCCGACAGGCCAAAGCTTCTCTGTCAAGCGCTCAAGCAGAAAATGATCGCCTGTCAGCCATCGCTCTGGAAATGAGAGAGGTATTTCTCTTTCTTTTAATGTAAATTTAGAATAATTTGGGAATTGGTTATATTTAGATCTTTTTTATATTCTTGAAAATTTAAACTTTAAATTTAAAGTTATTGGTGTTAATCTGAAGTTGAATGATTTTATTGATTGATTAATTGATAAGTTTCCTTTTTCAAATATTGTGATTTTCTCACAGTTTTAGATTGTCATAAAAATACAGAAAAATTAGCGTATTCGTTTTTTTTTTGTTTTTTTTTCTTCAAATATTAATGTGGGGCCGCTTAAAGATGAAAGTTGGACACATTTTTAATGCAATCCTATAGCATCGTCTTCAGTTCTGTTACGTTCACTCAAAGAAGTGGGGTTCCTCTCAGAAAATTCCTGGAGCCACGCCGGGGACTTTGGAGAAATGCCGCCCAACATCTACTAACACTAGGCTTTCTGTGGAGATCAGACACACAATTGTTCATGTTGGTGAGACAAAAATATAATTCCCAGACTTGGTGGAAAGAAGTTTTCTACCTCTTTCTGATTAGACTGACCTGTGCTGCTGTCATTATGCTGGAAGTCTGCCTAACACTGCAAACTGTACATGCAGGGAACATCTCCTCTGACCCCTCGAACCCCTCTAATGACAGACAGCAAAATAGTGAGATTGACAGCAAACCGGCCAGGAATGTGTTGGGGAATGGTTATTTCTTAAATGGGGGGAGACCACCTCTCTGTAAAAACAAAGATTAATCTTTCTTTGTAAATTTATTCAAAGGCATAATGGCGTTTGAAAGGCTTTGGCCCTCAGAGAGCAAAAAAGGATTGAAGGAAGTAATGCCTTTGGCTTTATTTAGCTTCCTGGATTCTGCCTGTCATGTCTATATTCATATGGGTATTTTCAGTTGTTATTGTTAAACAGTAATGTTTCCACTAAGGTTATAGGTGCCTGGAAAGGTCAATTCCAGATTTGTTAAGAAAGAAAAAACCAAGCAGTGTTCCACAGTTGGTGACACAGAGTTAGTCTTCAAGGTGCTGATCATGATTTGACCCAGGATAAGTTAATAGTTGATGATGGAAAGTTGCACTAATAGGTCAGAAATGTTACAGCACTCAATCCATTGTGTGCCTGCAGTAACCTTCAGCCATTCCTGTTCTGTCCTTTTTCTCTTTGCAGAATTCAGAGGTAGCGGAGCTGCAGCGGGCTCAGCTTCGCGATGACATCAGAGAGTATAAGGTTCGGGAGGCCCGACTGCTGCAGGACTACACTGAACTGGAGGAGGAGAACATCTCTCTGCAGAAACAAGTGTCTGTGCTGCGACAGAGCCAGGTGAGGCGGGTGAACAAAGGCCCTAAAAGGTACGATGAACATTTTGTTTATGTATGAAAACGTGGTTCTGTTTCAGCCTCACATAGGGGGTGCTGTGGTAATAAATTACACTGAGCTAAAATTAATCTTATATCAGATTTTTTTTTAATGATACGTATCCATGCTATAGGGTCTTAAATAAGTTAAGAATTACTTTACATAATCTCACAATGACTTTCAGTATTGGTTGTTTCAATTCAATTGGTACCTCCAACAATTGTGCCAGAGAAAAAAAGAAACACCTTTCTGCCATGCTATTACAATCCCCAGACTTATTTCCTCTGGAGCAGGCATCACCAACCTTGGTCCTCGAGGCCAGCTGTCCTGCAGGTTTTAGAGGTTTCCCTGCTTTAGCACAGCTGATTATAATGATTGCAGTAGACCAAAAGCCTGTTAATCAGCTTTCAATTAAAATCAGCTGTGATGGAGCAAGGAAACCTCTAAAACCTGCAGGACAGCGGGACTCGAGGAACAAGGTTGGGGATGCCTGCTCTGGAGAACCTGTGAGAAGAAGAAGAAGAGTATAAAGCCTTTAGGGGAAAAGTCTAGAGATCTGGTCTCAAATTCAAGTGGTCCTAGGCTTTTTACCTTACCTTACCTGATTCAAGTGGCTAAACTTTTCTCGCTCGCATGCAATTAAGGCTCTACAGAGTGTTTTGTAAAAGGCTAATATTGGATTGTTGAAGCAGAGGCTTATCTAAAAGTAGTTGAAAAATGGCTTTCAAAGTTAGAAACCACTGATCTAGTGTAATTCAGTAAATACAGAGTGTCATCCTCTCCGTGTGCACCAGGCTGTTTCATCTAAAGATTAAGCCAATTTTATTAGCATATATTCCTTTATATTGCATTCTTTCCCCCCCACACACTGAATAAATGTATAGAGATTGTAAAGGTTGCATTTTCTAAAGACTTCAAAGTAAAATTATACTGCTACAGTAAAAAACGTGATTGAACAATAAAGCTTAGCTCTGTACTTAGCTTAAAAAACCCAGATAAGTGACTCTCTGTCATTTAGATATAACAGGTTGAAACGCAGAGAAGTTGGAGTAGTTATCTAAAACTATGTAATGCTAGCTTTAATTTTTTCGCATTTTCACATTAGCATAATTTCATTAAGATCATCTCAGCTAAATATCCCTTTTATACTTTAACATGTCTACAGGTGGAGTTTGAAGGTCTAAAGCATGAGATCCGTCGCCTAGAGGAGGATTCCCAGTGTGTCCAAAGCCAGCTGGAGGAAGCCGTGCGTCTGAGAGAAATTGCTGAGCGACAGCTCACAGAGGCTTTAGAAACTATTAAAACAGAACGTGAGCAGAAGGCCACGCTGCGTAAGGAGCTCTCCCACTTCATGACCATTGGGGGGTCTGTGTACAGCAGCTTGCTCAACATCTCCATTGATAACGCGAAACTCCACGACGACCCCTCTGCCGTCCATGAACCTGATAATGACGACCTTATCAGAGGCTTCGAGAATGGCCTGGTCAAGATGGATGACAGCGATGAAGATAACAGAACGTTGGGCAACAAGAGAGGCGAGGCCTTTAAACCAGCACCTAGCTTGGTGGATGATCTGCTCAGTGAGCTCAACATCTCTGAGATACAGAAGCTCAAACAACAGCTTGCTCAGGTGGGAGCTTTGGCGATAGATTGAGAAAATTATTTTAATGGCTTTAATATGCAGCAAGATGGGCGATACATGAGGCATCATGGGCTGTTTGTGGAGCCATTGCTGTTTAAAGGGACACTATGCAACATTTTTCAGTTAATTAATGTGTTCCATAACGTTTTGGATGATTAAATGAGTCATTTCAGGTCGAACAAAGGTATTCTCGGCCGCCCTGGTGGTCTGTGGGGGAAATACTGGACTTGCAACTGCAGGAGCACCGACCCGCACCCACGGGCTCAGAAGTCTCGTGAGAGTCAGTCTTGCTTTACGGCGAGAACTGCTACACGCCCCAGTTAAAAGCATTCTCGTTGCTAGCACAGTGGCAATCTTTGTGCAGTTATGCTACGTTCACGCAGCAAAAGCAGCAAAATCGCGTCTGCTGCTTCCTTTTTGCTGCTTGTACCAGTTAGTTCTGACGCGTGGCTGAAGCAGCTTTGCTGCTCCGGCTGTGTCTGAGGCGCGTTGGGCGGAGCTTCACTATCCTTTCTCTGCCCTGCAGCTATATTTGCTGTGATCAGTGGGAATAAAGTAGTTTTAATATGTGTTTAAGTGAGAAAATACACCTGAAAACGTAATCAGTGCAGTCAGTTCATTCAGATTATTATCCTGCCTTCCATATTTTTTTTCTGTCGGAGCCGCTCAGACCCCCACATACCAGCGGGGCGCCAACAGTATGGATCCCTTCATCAGCAGCGGTTCACCGCGGCAGCTGGTAGGTGTTTTTCATCTAAATAATCCAAACTGCATATTCTGCCGGCAGATTTCTGCATTTTAAGTTAATTTAGGCGTCAATAAACTGTTTAAGAGGAGAGATCATCAGCGCTGTGTCTCTCTCCCTGCGTTAAACGCACCCGACGCGCTGCTTCAGCTGCTCAGACGTGCTGCGCCTGGTGCTCAAAACGCGCCGCGGGACCTTTTGCTGCGCCTTGACGCGCGTCAACCATTGACTTTGCATGTAAACTCGCTGCTTCTGTCGCGCCTGCTACGTCCAGTGTGAACGCAGTGTTAGTCATTCGCTGCTAAGCTCAAAACAACCGCGCCTGGCTTGACGGAGAAACCAGGAGAACAGCTGAGCATATTTACGACAGTGCACTTTTACTTTCGCCCTCTGGAGGGAGCCTCGCTGGAAAATCAACACCGGTTGCAAAGTGTACCTTTAAGGTGGAAGAGAATTGCAAACAGTTACCGTTGTTTCCAGACTAAGCCGCTAATTTTTATCCAGCTGTGAACCATGTGGCTTAAAAGAGGGTGTGGCTTACCTGTGAATTTTTTGCTTACTGCCATGGGGGAAGTCAAAGTTGGAAATGAAAGAATGAGGGGCTAATTTTCATTTAGCAGAAGAACATGCTAGCAGCAGGTACGACAGAGAACAAATGACGCGAATTCACACAAAAAGAATTTTTTGGCGGATCAAGCTGCCGAACTAATTAAGAGACTGGGCTCAACTGAGAGATAGCATCCCTCCTCTGGTGGTGATATGTAGAGCTCCCCCTACAGGTTAGGTGGGAGACAGTATAGTAGATGTCAGTGGCTTATAGCCCCGTGCCGCTTATATATGTACGTTTCCAGTTTGAAAAAAAATGTAGTTGGCACGCTTATAATGTGGTCTATATCTGGGAAATACAGCAGTTTGCTGCTGATTAACAAAGTCTAGCTATTTTTCAAATGATCCTTGTCAGATTTAAGTAGTGTTAAATGTTCTAGCTTAGTGGATTTATTTACAAAGAAATTGTGTTCCAATTCTTGACCATAGCTCAGACATTGTCCTTTACATAATTTATACATAGATAAAGAGCTTACATACAGTAACTCTTCGCTATTGGGGTGGATTCTACTCTGTGATTAAGTATTATTGTATGTTTGTTTTGTGAAAAGAGTAACCCAGTCAGTTTGAAATCTTCATTTTTTGTTGTGTGTTAGGTTGAGCGCGAGAAAGTGGCCCTGATGAATACTTTGCAGGAGAACCAGAAGCAGCTGGAGCAGGCCTACGGCACAGTGTCTGAGCAGAAGGAAACTGTCAACAAGCTGACTGAAAATCTAAGCGCCATGCGTAAACTCCAGGCCAGTAAGGAGCGCCACTCCGCCCTCAACAGCGAGAAAGAAAGGGACAGTCACGATGACGGAGATTATTATGAACTTGACATCAACGGGCCCGAGATTCTGCAGTGTAAGTACACTGTGGCTGTTTCTGAAGCAGGAGAGCTACGGCAGGAACTGAAAACACTGAGGGCGCAGTACGAGGAATGTCGGACCAGGTATGAGGAAGAGCGAGCCCGATTGGAGAGCGATGTCCAAGATTTCAGGTCCAAGTTGTTCTCTTTGGAGAAGATTAGTCAAGCTGATAAAGCGGAGGTGGCCCGTCTGGAGAGGGAGCTCCGTCTGGCTACGGAGGCTGCAGGAGAATCCCTCGGCTGCCTAAATGTTGCTCAGGATGAGCTCATCGCTTTTAGCGAAGAGTTGGCCAATCTCTACAACCATGTGTGCATGTGCAACAATGAGACTCCCAACAGAGTCATGCTCGACTACTACAAAGACGGCAAAGCCAGGGGACAGGAAGGAAAGGAACAGCAGACCGTACTTCTCACCAGTGGGCTGATCAATGAGAACCAAAATGGAAGGTCTGATTCCTGCCACGTTGCAGTTACTGCACCTGCAGCTCCACAACATCGCCCAGAACCCATGAACGTCTATAACCTGGTAGCTATCATCAGGGATCAAATCCGCCACCTGCAGCAGGCTGTGGACCGGACCACAGAGCTGTCCCGCCAGAGGCTGGCCAACCTGGAGCTGAGTGCCGTGGCAGACAAAGACAAAGAGGCCTGCATGGAGGAGATTCTCAAACTGAAGTCACTTCTCAGCACCAAAAGGGAACAAATTGCTACCCTCAGAGCTGTGCTCAAGGCCAACAAACAGGTCAGAGGAGGGTTCTTCACTTTCTATTCATTTTATCTGCATCTTTTGTCATGATTTGCATGAAAGAAAATATCAAATTCATCTCTTTAGACAGCAGAAGTTGCCCTGGCCAACCTCAAAAGTAAATATGACAGCGAGAAGGCCATGGTGACCGAGACGATGATGAAGCTTCGAAATGAACTCAAGGCTCTAAAAGAAGATGCAGCCACTTTCTCCTCTCTTCGAGCCATGTTTGCTACGAGGTAAAATGAGTTTTTACTTATATTTGCATAACTCCACCTGCTTTCATTCTGACCAGCATTAAAAAACAAAACTATGCAAGCAGAGGCACAGGAAAATGTGAAAACCAACAGTGGATTCTGGTCATGCAGAACCACACAGTAGGGGTGGAACGATTCACAAAATCCACGGTTCGGTTCGATTCATGGTTTCTGGTCGCGGTTTTCGGTTCGATTCGATACATGTTGATTGTTACACCGAAATCCCATAAAAAATTATGAAATTAATGAAAAAATCCCCAAAAAAATAATGGATTGTAATTATTTTAAATGATCCACGGAAACCCTGGATCATTTCCGTATGTTTTGCTGCTTTGAATTTAATCATCTGGCGCATGCTCTCTAACATCTCCAAGGGACTCAGAGGGGAGCAGACGAAGCCACAGCGGGGGCTGTAGGCTTTGCTTTGAGCAGCCGGTCTGGAGCGCAGCGGGGCGGAGCGGGGGTTACTGACGGAGTATGTGGGATTTCGGGGTTAGCATGACATGTTGCTGTTAGCATAAACAAAACGTGTTGCACAATGCTTGCACACTGTTCCACAACTTTCTTTCCGCCGTCATCGTAGGTCACTCTAAATGCAAAGCGCTCCCATACAGCAGACCTATAAAGTGCTGCCGGCGCGTCTTCCAACTCCTGTTCTTTCCCACTCGCCAGTCCGAAACAATTCTCCACAACAACTGATTTTTTTCCCTGCTAAGCTGCTTCGCTTCTTTTTCTTCTTGTTTACTACTGGCGGTTGGCTTTGGTCGCAGTACCGCCACCTTCTGCTCTGGAGTGTAATCGCTTCCTCTATGAGAAAAAGGAACAGCGCATGAACCGAACGAAACACACGCGAACCGAACCGAGACAGTCGAACCGAACGATTCTGACGGTTTTCATAAATCGTCCCATCCCTACCACACAGGTACACTTCAATAAATACCTAAATTATTCAAAAGTGAATTAGTTAATGTTTCAGATGTATCTGTTAATATTGATTATTTTGGGTCTGTGGTGAATAAAACCAGATCATGATCTAGGGAAATTAGAAAATTAGAGCAGATTAATAAAATAAAGGCTCAGTTCTTGCCTGCCTATTGTGAGATAGACAGATCACATATCTAGCAGTCAGATGCACCATCCTTTATAAGGATGATTCACCATAAAAACACTTTGATGAAAGAATGTCTGTTTCCAGGGCTCTGTTCATGCACCTTCATGTAAAGTTTATTGGAAGGAAAAACTGGTAGAAAAAAAAAACCTAAATTTGAGCTAAACGCAACCCAGAGAGGATTGTGAAGCAATGCAGAACATGGGCTAAAATTGTGGCATCCCTTATTTGAATACTTTCCTTAATAAGAGACGAAGCCAAACACACCCTATATGAGCTGAGGAGAAAAGAAAACCAGAGAAAAAGAACAAGACTAATGCTTGGTCCCAAGCTCTTTTGCAGATAAAGGTATTTTATTTGGAGAGAGGCAGATTAGTCAGTCTGTGTTATTTTTTTTAAGCTCCACCTTAATGGTTTCTTGTTAAGAAACCATTCAGATATATCTGCAGCTTAAAAATATATAAGGTGCAGCTTAAAAAGATATAACATAAACTGGCTAAAAAGCCCCACCAACATGAAAGTCATAAGATTTGTGACACACTTGCATGTCTATTATCAGCATTTTAATCTTAAAATTAAGATAAAGTCAACCTTAAAAGTAAAGAGAAGTTATTTGTTCTTAGACAGTGCTAATGATGCCAGGTCATTTAGCTTCAATCTCCCAATGATAGGTGTCAAAACATTTTGCTGCCTCTGATTTATGCCTTTTCGTGGTTACAATGACCCACGTGAATTTGAACAGCTTGTCTTTTTAAATATTTTGTTCTACTGTCTATTAAAAAAAACCACAAAGCATTGTGGGAACAGTCTGATGTAATACTGACTCAGCTTCCAGGAAATTCATCCTTCCATCTGGAAAAGTTGTGTTGGGAATAGAATACCAGCTGGGGAGCACATTACGCCACCTACTGGCTGAAATGTTTATCCTTACCACCTTCCTTTTTGTCCCCCTCTCCTTTGGTGTCCTCCACCTCTTGCTTTTTTTTTTCTCCCAGATGCGATGAGTATGTGACCCAGCTAGATGATATGCAGAGGCAGCTGGCTGCAGCGGAGGATGAGAAGAAGACGCTGAACTCCCTGTTACGAATGGCCATTCAGCAGAAACTGGCTTTAACTCAGCGCCTCGAGGATTTAGAGTTCGACCATGAGCAGGCGCGCCGCAGCACTGCCACAGCAGCAGGAGGAAAGGGTAAAACTAAGGGCAAGGGAGCCTCTTCCAGCCACCATGTAAGTCAGATGATGCACTGCAGAACTAATCATAAAATCACACAGCAAAGGAGTTGCTGTTTGCATTTCTGTAGCTTAAGATCTCAGTTCTTTAGTTTAGCCTGCCTAACACTGGGTTCTCGAGTCTTCTGCCGTTATTAGTCATCTTTTGAGTCCATTATTAGATTATACATAACATTATACTCTAATTTTATTGGGAGAACATTAAGCATACATTTAGTAGGTGGGGAAAGACAACAGTTGTTTTAAATTGACACGTGTAAAGTTAATTGAAATATATTCTAATATGCCAATTACCATTATCTTCATATATTGTCCTAAATTAATTTCAGATTTTTGTGTAAAAAAAAAAAAAAAAGAAATACTCTAGCAGTCTGTTAAAGGCCTAAACCAGGGATGTCAAACTGGTTCCAGAAAGGGCCATGTGGCTGCAGGTTTTCTTTCCAACCAAGCAATAGCACACCAGACTCCAGTCATCCTATCAAGTGAGTCCAGTCTTAACTTGATGACTTGATGAGATGACTGGAGTCTGGTGTGCTATTGCTTGGTTGGAAAGAAAACCTGCAGCCACATGGCCCTTTCTGGAACCAGTTTGACATCCCTGGCCAAAACGATCAAATAAAGAGGTCATTTAGAGACATTATTAGCATGTAGAGTAGATGACCTTAAATGGGAGATGTGCTAAAGTCTTTGGTGTTTCCTTAATGAACATGTTTTGAGGCCGAATTTGGCTCCTTAAGAGTATAAAACAGGACATTTCTGTAGCTCAGTAACGTTTCAATCAGAATGAAATGCTGATTAGCCTCAGTATAAAAAGCTTTCCTCTCCAGATACTTCTTTGACCTTACTGACTGGGTGTTTTCTTCGCCCAGTAACAACTTCCACTCCAGAAAGTGTTGTCGGTCATCAATAAGATAGCTCTATTATGATAATTGACTGATTTTTGTGTTGAATTTCTGTTTTTTTAGGCAAAGCAGCAACAATTTAAGTGGCCCAGGGTTATTTTAGCTCCGGTTCTAATTTAATTTTAGGTAAAGTCGTCAGAGGCTATGTTCACGCTGCCGGCTTTAATGCTTATTTCAGAATTTTTTTATTTATTTTTTTGTTAAATCCGATTCTATTGCGTAGTTGTCCACATTTCCTAATATATGCTACTGGTGTGTGATCTCCTGTGTGAACTGCATTTATACAGATTAGCTGCCCCGTATAAGCATTAGAGGATACAATGATGTTACAAGCGAGCATGCTCTGTGTTTATGGAAGTAAACATGGATGGTAATACTGGAGCGCATCTTGCGATCTTTCATGTCTTTCCCAACCTCAGCCAGTGCAATAACAATACAATCTTTTCAAGATGGATGAAATTAAAGCCTGCTCTCCGCATTTTCGTCTGCCATGGTTGTTTTTCCTTCTGCTTCTGCATAGAAAAACACAGAATAGCGACCTTTATTTAGTATTAATGACTTTCAGGTCGGATGAATGTGACCTGGCCGTTCACACACAGGTCGCATTTGAAAAGATCAGATACGCATCGGATTCAGGACCACATAGCCACATCGTTGCCTGGGTCGCAAAAAGTTGGATCTGTGTTCGGACTGTCATGAAAAGATCCAATACAGGTCGCATATGGGCAAAAAAAATCTGATTTGGGTCACTTCAGGCTGCTGTGTGAACCTAACCAGGGTTATTTAGGCAGAATTAGATTGTCATCCCAATTTATTCAGACCAAATATTTGTGTAACTTTATGTTCTGTACTTTAAAACCAGTATAAAATAAACACGCTTCCAGTTAATAATAAAAAGACAGCAAAAGTGTATATATTTCTTAAATTTTCACTCATTTTTGGTTTTCTTGTCAGAATCAGAATCAGGTTTATTGTCATTGTTAGTGAAGGAGTTCACAACTAGGAATTTTTTATGGTACATCGTGCAACATGAAACATATAATATGAAATAGGTACATAAAATTATAAACATCTCTAAAAACACTGGGGTATAAGGCATGCAAAAAATATACTAATATATACACTTAGGATAAAAATATGGATAAATTAAAAAATATATATATAAAAAGTAAAATGTACAAGGTAGTGCAAATAGAGCAGTGTGCAATACAGCAGTGTAAATGGCATGGGCAGGTTATGGAGTCTGACATTGTCTTTCTTTGTATCAGATGCTTATTTTCTTAATGACCTTCATTTAAAGAGCTGCAATACTTACTAAATCCTTGATTATTCTCTCTTTTTTTCTTTCAGTAAACCTATCAAGCCAAGTGACCTTAAAAAAAGAAAGTTGATCAATGTGACTTTTACTATTCACGTGTTCCTGGTTTCTTCTGTGATAAAGCTCCTGGTTATATCAGCTTAACGACCAGAACTCAACCAACAGTATTTAATTTGCCAAGAACTTTGTAAAAGGGTGCCATAACACTTTGTATAGAATTCCTTCACATGACAATGAAGGAAGAAGATTCAACGCATCATCAGTCTTCCGAGGAATTGTACGACTGATGGCTGAGCTAGAGGAAGGACTGGTGCTGATTACTTATCTACTACCACGGCTGAGCACTTTTTATTACTTATCCCTCCTAACAAATGTCTTCCCCTAAATTATGCTGGTATTATTCATTTTTTCTAATAGAAATGTATGCTTTCCTGCCTGTTTCTGTCAGATTTTGAGCCCCCTGAATATATTGTAATCTAATTTATTTTTAGCAGCAAAGTAGAAGTTTATGTTACCTTTTAAATACCGAACCATTTGTCCTGTTGGGTAAAATCCAAACGAGACAAATGAGTTTCTCTAGCCTTTCTTTTTCTGTTGCCTTAGATTGAGGTTTAAATGAAAGCCAGTAACAAAGCAACATCAATCAGCTACCCAGGTATTTTTTGGGGGGGAAATAATGTTACATTATTATGACTCCATTGTTGAATGGATCGTAGATTTTGTTTTGTAGATCTTGGCAGAAATTCTCCGCTTCACCAATTTTCTGCCAACTCATGAATAAGATTGTCATGACTGAGGACCGTTTCAGTGCAAAGTTATTTTAAGATTTATAAGATAAAAAAATAGTATTCAGATTTTATTCGTAAAAAGGTTTATAAGTACTTTTTTAATCCAGGTTTTGTATGTTGTGTTAGGTCATACAGTAACAAGTGCAGTGCCATTGTGTGTATTGTTTGTACAAGTGCAATTTGCAATCCTTGCTGAAGAAAATAGGAGAGTAAATGTTTGTGCTTTGTGAAAGTATTATTTTTGACATGTTTATGTTATGACTGCAATTGTATTTATTTGTGTCTTTTCAGACAACAGGATTTACCTCTTTTGGTCAAAGAGGGAGTAAAAATTTAGCTGCCTGCTTACAAAGTCTAACGGGGTCTTGTTTAAAAAAAAAAAAAAGTACTAGCAAAGATGGTTTCTGTTACTACCTCCAGTTATAACTGGCGAGGAAATAAATCTAACTTTCACACTATATGTTTGTTGTCTGAGGGACTGTCTTTTCCTGTTTTTGATAAGGAAAATCTTTAGCTACTTCTAAACCTTCTCTCTAATATTTCAAATGCACTCCTAAACTAATAATTACTGCAGTTTGAATTTTGTTTTTTTTTTATGTTAAAATCCCAAACACCCATTTTTAGACTTAGACTTAGACTTAGACTTCTTTATTTGTCATTTTGTATGCACAGGGTGCATACAGAACGAAATTGCGTTACATACAGCTTATGAACGTTGCATTGATATTTCAAATGGCACGAGTTATAGATATTTTATATATCTTTATATATATAATATATTTTTATCAGTATTTTATGTCTTAAGCGGAAATGAAAATAACACATAATTGTCAAAATTATGGACAAAAAAAATTCCCCCATTTAACAGTTATGTGGTTTTGGTGGTACATTACATAAAATCATTACCATATATCTGCTTTTTGCAACTTGTCAAACTGCAGATATGTTCACAGGTTATAGATCCTTATGCAAGGCAGTGATTTTCTAAGGTGAAGTATGGTGGTGGAAGTAGATGGATGTTTCAACCATCAAATTATGTTAAAATGTAAACACTTTTAAGAAAAAAAAATATTCTTCGTCTTGGTCAATCGTAGCAATCCCAAAATCCATTGACAAAAAGGTTGGTATAAATTGATTAACAATATGTACACAAACTGCATAGTTGCTTGAGTAGAATATATTTATGATCAGATAAGTAATGATGTTATATGTTGATGCACAACATATCTACAAGTAATAACAATGCACTTCATTATCTGATTTAGGTGTACATATGCATCCTGCATATTCAATTCAAAAGCACTCTATGATTCGGGTTTCGATTGCACTGGTTCCTGTATCAGTGCCAGTAATCCAGTAATAGCTTGTTAGTTCCCCATTGTTTAATTTACTTGAACTGCAGAGAATAATTAATGATATTTAATTAATATTTGTACCTTAATTTTATTTAAGGTGCAAATATTTCACAAGGGTCCATTATGCTTTACTTAAATTCTCTTAAAAAAATCACCAGAATGTAGAAAATAATGTGTATTGTAAAAAAAAAAAAAAAAAAAAAATTTCCACATAACTACAGAACACTTATTCAGTCACATTTACTGTGCTATTAAAATTCCAAATTTTACCGCTTTGTTTCAGTTAAATCCTCTGAAAACCTCCAACCTATAGCTGCACCTGTCCTCATCTAACCCTGACAGGATGTCCTGTCCAAACTATTTCAAAATCTCACCCAAGGTTTGGTGAAAAGTTGGCAGCCCTGTGAATAAGCATTTTATAAACAAATGTTCAAATTAAATCTGAAGATTAAAGCAATTGAAGTAATGGTAAAAAAAAAAAAATACAAAGCAGGTTCATTATCTGACGTTAGGAGCAGACTCCCTAAAAAACTATGGAAGAGGGTTAGGGCTGGACTGAGTTAAAAAAAAAAAAGTTAACTGATTTTTTAATTTTATTTCAGTTTAATATGGAAAAAAAAATCAGAATTCTTACTTTAATCTCAGAATTCAGACTTTTTTCCCATATTAAAATGAAATAAAATGTGAAAATTATTAAACTTTTTTAATTTTTTCAGTGGCCTTAATCCTCTTCCGTAAAAAACAGATACCTGCATGCATCAAATGAAAACTTTGTTGTTTTTGACAAAGCAGTTTTCCCGCTGGTTCCGCTGAAATGGGTGTTCTCCTTTTTTGGATACTTTGACGTAATCCCAACGTGATGGCGTCAGAGGGTGTAGCCAAACAGAGGACAAGAGAGAGGACTCACCCTACAATGGAAGGTTTGCGTTTCTTTGCTTTATACACCGAAATAAAGTGAAATTTTACCATAAATCTCTCAGTCTTTTTTGTATAACCTTTCATATGAAGGCCTGTTACCGCAGCAGTAGTCCTGAAGCTGAAGCTTTGTCAAATACGGTGAAATGTTAAAGTGGACGTTTCTGAAAAGTTATCAAACTGTACAATAGACAGTAGATATGTCCCGATAAAGAACTTTTAATTACTAAAAGTTTAGTTCGACCGTTTTGCAGACGAAAATATACACTTTTATGAGCCTCTGATGCAAAACAAAAAAAGAAAAACACATCAGTTTATTCTGCTATCTGTCCGTGAAAGCTAACATGTCTGACATCTGAAGGATTTGTATATTTTTTTTCCTGTCCTGCTCAGAAAGTTTTCGCCAGCAGCTGTTAGAGGACACCGCCTTCCTCCGAGCAGAGCAGAGGCTGGACACAGAGCTGGTGGACAAACTCATCCTGCAGCTCAACAGGATCTATCCTCAGATCCTCTCAGACAAGGAGGCCACCAGAGTGAGTTATGTCCAAAGAACAATCCATGCAATTAGGGGATTATCCACACCATAATCTGAGTGTAGTTTTTTTTTTTTTTAAGAATTCTTTAACATTATTTGGTGGAACAAGCAGTTCCCCATAAACCAGAGGGTGGCAGGACTGACTATTGACAGCTTCAGCATCAGACTCAAAAGGTCTTAAGGGTGGATTATGTTTCTGCAACCGCACACATCAAATGTCGCTTGCGTCTGGTCGCGAACCAGTTTTGCTGGCATGCTTCTGCAACGTCGGTCTTGAATTTCTAGGAATGCACAGCAGTTTCCCACCAATGCGCAAGAGGGAGCCTACTCGAGAACTCGCAAGAACTTCTGCAGATAGTCAAGAGAACGTCTTCGGCGGTGCCGGCGGGAGTGTTTATTTTCTAAAACAACATGTCTGAGGCATCGAACAAGTGCTTGTACTTCCAAACCTCCTCGGTCAACCTTTGGTCGTTGTTATCCATTGCTATTACTCCTCAGTTTTTAAAATGGCGCGCCCCGGCACCAAATCGAGAAGGACGACCACACAGACAGCCGGAAAGGCATACCAAGGACCAATCACAGCTTCTTTTTGTCTGCACACTTCCGCTTGATGTCTGCACGGGTTTACGACTGTCTGAGGCATAGCTAGGATTTTTTTGAGGTGCACAACGATGGTTGCAGAACCTCTGCGCGGGGGGCTTGGTCACGCACAGACTGATTTGACGATTGCAGAGGCTATGCTTCAGAAGCAGAAATTGGCCTTAATTATACAGAAGAAAAAACGAACATACCTTGAATAAAACATAAACAAAATAAGCACCTTGTTTGATGTCTTTATCAAGCAGAGAGAATGAAGAAGGTGAAAGCAGAACAAACACCTAAGGCTTCAGATACACGCTGTGCCTTATTTATAAATTTATGAAAGGCCGATTTTAAGGAAATTGTTACCTAATGTGCAGCTCATGCCAAGGAACCGTTCATTAAAATTTGGTAATGATCCAGATCATGTGTGAGTTTTAGCTATTGGTGTAAATCTAAATATGGGGCAAAATGTACAGCTTGGTGGAGGTCTGCGCTCTCAGAGTGCTTTTCTAGTGATAAATATTATACTAGGAGAATAGTGGTTAGTTTTCCACAGTCCCCCCATTGAAGCACATTCAAGTGACCAACTACAGCAGGGCGATCTTAACACATTTCAGCTAACATAGCAACCTTCAGGTTCCCAAATGATGTAATACACTATATTGCCAAAAGTATTTGCTCACCTGCCTTGACTCACATATGAGCTTAAGTGACATCCCGTTCCTAATCCATAGGGTTCAATATGACGTCGGTCCACCCTTTGCAGCTAGAACAGCTTCAACTCTTCTGGGAAGGCTGTCCACAAGGTTTAGGAGTGTGTTTATGGGAATTTTTGACCATTCTTCCAGAAGCGCATTTGTGAGGTCGCACACTGATGTTGGACGAGAAGGCCTGGCTCTCAGTCTCCGCTCTAATTCATCCCAAAGGTATTCTATCGGGTTGAGGTCAGGACTCTGTGCAGGCCAGTCAAGTTCATCCACACCAGACTCTGTCATCCATGTCTTTATGGACCTTGCTTTGTGCACTGGTGCACAGTCATGTTGGAAGAGGAAGGGGCCAGCTCCAAACTGTTCCCACAAAGTTGGGAGCATGGAATTGTCCAAAATGTCTTGGTATGCTGAAGCATTCAGAGTTCCTTTCACTGGAACTAAGGGGCCAAGCCCAGCTCCTGAAAAACAACCCCACACCATAATCCCCCCTCCACCAAACTTTACACTTGGCACAATGCAGTCAGACAAGTACCGTTCTCCTGGCAACCGCCAAACCCAGACCCGTCCATCAGATTGCCAGATGGAGAAGCGCGATTCGTCACTCCAGAGAACGCGTCTCCACTGCTCTAGAGTCCAGTGGCGGCGTGCTTTACACCACCGCATCCGACGCTTTGCATTGCACTTGGTGATGTATGGCTTGGATGCAGCTGCTCGACCATGGAAACCCATTCCATGAAGCTCTCTGCGCACTGTTCTTGAGCTAATCTGAAGGCCACATGAAGTTTGGAGGTCTGTAGTGATTGACTCTGCAGAAAGTTGTCGACCTCTTCGCACTATGCGCGTCAGCATCCGCTGACCCCGCTCCGTCAGTTTACGTGGCCTACCACTTCGTGGCTGAGTTGCTGTCGTTCCCAAACACTTCCATTTTCTTATAATACAGCTGACAGTTGACTGTGGAATATTTAGGAGCGAGGAAATTTCACGACTGGATTTGTTGCACAGGTGGCATCCTATCACAGTTCCACGCTGGAATTCACTGAGCTCCTGAGAGCGACCCATTCTTTCACAAATGTTTGTAAAAACAGTCTGCATGCCTAGGTGCTTGAATTTATACACCTGTGGCCATGGAAGTGATTGGAACACCTGATTCCAATAATTTGGATGGGTGAGAAAATACTTTTGGCAATATAGTGTATGTCAAATATCAAAGTAAGCTATAAATTGCTACTGCAAAAATAAGGGGGTGGCCTTAAAAAAGGAACAAAATAGCAGTTAGTCAGCCTTTAAAAGACTTACCCAGATATTTTGATCTGCATGTTATTGTTTCTGTTTTGAAGAGGGGTTGCATATAACTCAGAGG